TTGAAATACTTTATCCAATGCGTTCAGCTTTACAGCTGTCCCAGTTGTTTCCACACTGATCTATTTATTTATTTTAATACCATGAGTAAACGAAAATGTATAACACTTTAGTACATCCTTCCAGCTGTTCACTATTTTCAGCAATGACAGTGCTTAAGTCTGAAGGCTCAAAACAAGACAAGAAACAAGTTTGGTCAGGGAGCCACTGTCCTGAGCGGTTTCCTACACACCACTCCATCCCCCTGAAGGTCTTCTCAAGATACAGTACATATTCTATAGAGTCCTTCTATGGTCAGAATACAGAATTGAACCAAGCCTATACAATATACATTACTTGTGTGCAATAAAGGACAGAATGCAAGTGCTTTGAATTCTTTACTCTGCATATATGGCTATGTTTTAGTACGGTACCCACATTTAGATCATAATTTCCACGGGTCTCTATAAACATGCATGAAGATAAACAGGCACTCTTCCCATGCAGAGCTGGAAGAATTCATCCAGAAGCTTTGCTTTGTAAATTATTTCATATGTGTTTTACTGAAGCTATAAAGGATATTAGCAAGTGCACTGGGAACTTTTGTTTTAAATTATTATGATCTGTTACTCTAATAGAAGTTACTAATATTATTTAACCCCACTGGTGTACTTAAAATGAAAATAGTCTTAAGCTCTTTTCAATAGATTTTGTCTCTATAATAATTTTCCCTCAATACCCTCTTCCTATTTAGCCTATTGGTCTCTAGCTTCATATACCCAGAAAGATACTGAAATAACACAGGCTTTCAAATTATCCTATCTTTCAGATAAAAAAGTAAGCAGCTAAGAATGCTTTATTAACCTTTCCACTCCAATTTACAAAAAGATTCATTCATAAATTAAATAACATATCAAAAAATTCCAAAGAAAGCAACATCCACCCTTGTTCTGACCATCCTGTGATTTCAGAACTAAAAAACTCACTAAATTATCAGCTGCTGCAATTCTTAGCAGTTCCATTATAACCATACTTAAGTTAGTTGAAACGCATATTCTAAAAAGCTCTCCATGCTGCATATATATATATATACATATATACACAACAAAATAGAAACAATGTTCTTTTCATGTCCTCTGTAAAGGGAAAAAATGATAAATTCACACAGATGCAGCATAGCCTCACTCAGGACACTCAACACTATGTATGTAGGAGGGCCTCTGAAGCAGCCAGGTGGGTGGGAGAGGTAACAGAGCTTGCTGAGGTCCACAGTGGGTGAGGTAGGGCAGACCTGGGGTCAGAATGAACACAACAAACCTGAACCCACTCTCAAGCTCACCTACCAAGGGCAGTGCTATTAACAGAACTAAGTCTGTGTCTTTCAGGACCTTCATCATGCTTTCAAATTTTTCAGGACATGGTTTTCATAGAAATAAAACTAGATGCAACATTCCAGCCCTGGTCTTATTAAAGGGATTTAAACCATGCTCCTACCTCTCTCCTCACCTCTACTAGGCAGCACCAGCTCTTCTTGACACTGTCCTGCACTTGAATCCCCTTTGGCTACAGGAGCTTCCTCACTAACCTCCAAGTGTTCCCTCAGTCACAGCTTTACAAGATAAAAATCTTCCACTCTGCACACACCTCCATCGTTCCTTGCTCCTCCACACACCCAGATAAACTGCACTTTAACAGACTCCTGTTACCATGATCGCAGCCTTGCTTTAAATATCTTTTTTTTTTATCAGTCCAGCAATCACTGAACCATCCACTGTTTGTCACCATTGCTTTTATGTTTACACACAGACAATTGACCAAAACTGCAAAGCACATCACACTTGACACAAACACTGGGGAAAGTCCTCAACACTCTCAACCTTCGACAGTGGCCTCCAGCCATTATTTCTGAGTGCTGGCAGCTCACCAGCTCTTTATCCATTTTATTTTACTGTACAGTCCTAATTTTAAAATTAATTTTAGTTGAATAACAGTAAATCAAGGACCTAATCAAATTTAAATGTTAGCTATATAAATAATGTACTTTCAGTTTGACAGTCAACACACAAAAACAAAACAAAACACTGCTTCAGGTTAACTATTTCCTTTGGCAAGAGCATAAGTAATACAAAACTGGTCTAGCGGTAACTGATGCAATCTTAATTGGAGGCAACATAATCAGCTCCACACACAATGAGAGCAACACTAAAACCTGAACAATTTCTATGCCATACATATTATATGAAAGAAAGATCTGTGGTTTTTAATATAAGATTTTAGGCATGATCACTTTTAAGAGCAGACAAAACCATGAGGTGTTTAAGTAGAGATTGGTATGGTAAAACCAAGTATGGAAATGTCCTCCACACTGACTTGGTACAGTAACAAATTGAAAATACAGGTAATTTAAAATAGAGAGTTTTAAACATGTTCAACTTAAAAATACAGGGGGGTCTCATAAACAAACTTTGATTGTCTGAGAGGCTGTAAGATGTTGCTGACCCAGGTGCTTAATCATCTTTCTGCTGGAGTGAGTAACTTGTAAGAAAGGACAAGAAGGTGTAAGATCTGCCCCCAGGACCTGGGATCCCATTCCCAGCCTCTGCATCAGCACAAGTCACCCAAAAGAAATATGAGTTCAGGCAAGGGAAGCGAACTGAGGAACAGGTATTGCTGGCTCTTCCTTACAGACGGCAGTCTGAGGAGTGGGGATAAGAGACCAGCTGGCAGCATCTTAAACCACAGCATCTAAGGCTTCCAGAGCACATCTGTCAGAGCCATTTGTGAATAAATTTCAGTGTAAGAGTTTGTAGAATTGAGAACTTCACATGTAAAGATTACAATGAAAACACAACAGATAAAAGCACAAAAAGATACAAAGGCTGATTGATAACATAAATGTGAGAAGGAATTATCATGGGTAGACTTAACCTTTTCTTCATTTACACCACACAAGACAGCCGGAGAGAAAACAATTGAAACTTTGAAATCTACCACATTTCCAACCCAATCTGTTTTCCCAGTATAAAAACCAGTTCATGACATAAAAGGTTATTATTTTGTTCCATTATTTATTTGATTTCAACAGAAATACATGAGGATAAATTTGGTTTCTGGCTAGAGGCAACCAACTACAGATGACACAAATGCCACTTTTTATTTTGTTGTCTTACCTAAGACTAGAAATAACAGCATTAATAGCTGACAATAAACTTGTGTACAAAATGTGTGCTTCAGCTTGCCCTCTGGATTTTAACTTCCCAATACTATTCTCAATGTTAAATTATTATTATTAGTGTCAACCTCTGCTTTTTTCCTCTCTCACACTTGTCCTTTCTGCTGTAAAGGACTTCTCCCACTATAAGCTTCTGCTGTCAGAACAGTCTTTCCCCATTTATTCACTTCTCCAGCTCAACATCCATTCCTGGATTTCTATTGCAGCCTTCCCTTCCTTTCTCATTTCCCATCCTTCTTTACAACTGCTATTGGGTTTACATTGGCTAATTCATCACAGTGTTTCTTCCCAATTCTGCCTTGTTTTTGATGGTAAAACATACTGAGTGAAAGACGATGGCAAGAACAATCACAACACATGAATAAACAATATTTTGTTGACATATGAATTATCATATTTAAAACTGCAAAAAGTCCTGGGACACAATAAACTGTATTGTGTAAAGCTCCATTGTATCACTGCAGTGTGTAGTTAGAGAGGCAGAATAAAACTTAAAAATCACTAATGCTGATTTTTAGCCCTGTGGCTAAAAAAAATGCAAAAGAAATGAGAAACAAGGGAATTAGCACTGTCCATGTCAAGAATGCCTGAAGTGTTTACTCAGCCTACTCAACTACAGGAGCATCTTTGCACAGGTAGTGATACAAAAGCACCTGGGATACCTTGACATTTTCCCATGACCTTCAAACATAACTCTAACAAATAAAAATGTATCCGGAATCATAGGTTGTTGCAGATAATTTTGGGATATTAAAGCTGTATTAATTGAACACCTATTTGGAAACATAAGCAAGAACTTTTTCTTCTTCTGTTGCTGTACCAGTGACCATCTATGTTTGTCATTATGTGAAACAGAGTTCCTTCCTCAATGGCAAACACCACAGTTTTTACAGAAATACCCTTTCTTTTTATCTTCTTCTCAAAACAGAAAAAAATTGTTACTGCTTATTTTGTGTGTAAAAAAATACTTCAAGAATAAAACTGGTTATTAAAGAGCTGTAAGATACATAAGATATGTTGTACATAATACTGCAATAATATATGGCATCATCAGCTTCATAACTAAAAACAATTTCACTGTGTCTGTGATTGATAAACTACGTAAGTATTAAAACATTAAAAATGTTAATCTTTGTAATAATGTCCTGAAAAGTTTTTATATTAATTTGAACCATGGATCATTTTAATATTTAATCATTGCAGACTTCATCTGAAATGAGAATAGCTATTCACTGAAATACGCTTCATTTTTTATTTAAAAAAAATGACAGTATTTATTCCATAAATCTCTTCACATTTTTTCCTCAATCAAAAGTAAACCTGCAAGCAAATGAAAAAATCCACAAGAGCAGAAAAATTTAAAGCAGCATTTGTGTCAGAAAACATTGACATTCATAGTCTTGTTTCTCAGGAGTAACTGCATTACAACAGTATTATTGTATGAGAGTCAGAGGATTGAGGGAGACTTCTACTGCAAATGGAAATCATTGGCTTCTTTGTTTATACCTTACAACCATCTATGTTGCAATCTCTCTATGTATCTCATAATGTGTAAACACAACAATTCACTTATTCTTCCTAAGTACTTAACACGGTGGCTCAGTTCTTCAAGATGGTATTCAACTGGTTTAGGGTTTTTTAACAAGTAACCTAATTTTGTAACATTAGAACACTTTAGCAACATATAAAGACTTTCCAAAGTATCCTATCCTCATCTATAATTCACAGCTTGTCTTGCCTAATGAAAAATTTAGATTAATATGGAAATATTGCAAAGGAAAAAAACCCACAAAGCAACTTCCTAGTTATGAGAAGAATCTCACAGAAACTCTAAAAATCTAACTGCAATTAACTATAACTAATCTTGGTGGTATTGATTCATTTTTAAAGACATTTAAAATTACCTAGCCAAAATTAATTCATGGTCTCAAGAAACAAATTTCACAGAAAAATCCAAGGAAAATATCTTCACTGCACAGCAAAAGATATAAAAGCCTTGTCTTGTTTTCTATGTAGACTAGAGGTTTCCTGGAGCTGCTGCAATAGAGTACAGTGAGCTTAAGCTGCCCTTTAGACTGGGCTGTGGGATTTGGCCGAAATATTTGAATTAAGTAAATCCTAAAGATACCCTGGGCAGTACCACAGGTTGACAGATTAGCTTAAATGACTAGTCTCCGTTCTGTACTTGTGACCAACAGGGAGGATTTTCCCGTATCTGCTACAAATCTGGCACACAAACTGGTTTCCACCTCTGAAAAGGCCGCAGAGTGTAACAGCGAGAGCTATGAAGTCACAGGACGGGCAGAAGTCAGTGTGGAACCTTCAAATGCATATAAGCTTATTCTGTATCATTCAAGTTTATGAAAAGAAAGACCAAACGACCAAAAAAGCCCCAGTAATAAAATCACTGCCTTTACTCCTGACTTTATGAAGAAAGTATGCATCCCTTTGCATATTACCTTTTGCTAAAGTACGTTCTTAAGGAAAGATGTATGGAAAAATCCTGGTCATTCAATGTAATGCAGTAATTAAACTCTGGAACTGAGCTGCTCATCCGAAATAGTCCTGTTTTTATGTGACTTAACAGAAAGACATATACGTCTTTGTATGTAATTTGATACAAGATTTAAAGCTAATTATATGGGGAGTTTTACCAATGTTAACAGGAATCTCCGCTTTAGTAATTTGATTTGAAGCAATCTTTCCAAACCTAGATATCTGAAGAGCTCCCACATCTGTGTTGAAACAGTAACTGAGTATTTTCTGTATTGTTTTTGCAGATACAAAATACTAATTTAAGCAGACTAAGAAGTCAGTTGTAGAACCTTGTTGTAATCTCTACTTGGCTACATTAATAAATTAAATTCACAGAATTACAGGATTGTTGATGTTGAAAAGAACCTCTTGAGGCAAACTATTTATGCTCATCTATCCCTGCTCAAACAGGTTTAGCCAGAAGACTATACATAAATTATAGAATTACAAATTAGAAAATAAATTACAAAAGGGATTTACATATTGAGGGAAAAATAACAAAAAAGCGAGCAACTCACCTCTTTTTAAAAAAACTGCCAACTGTTTGTATTAATTTATTTCAAAGTCAACAGTTTGTTTCCTCTATGCTCACACTTACAGAACTGACCTCAAATAGACTTAGAACTTCACTGCTTCCATGAAGACAGAAAAGAAGTCCCACAAGGTAAACAGTACTAATTCATGATCAAAGATGATCATTCCAACAAAAAAAAACCTGCCAAATTTTTCCTTACATGAACAGACAAACTATTTCCTGAACAATGAAGTTTGTCCCTAGCCTGTTTTGTGATTCAACGGGAAGTGATTCAGCCAAGGATGACATGCCAAACAGCAATACTTAAAAAATGGTTCAATTTTCCCCATATTTGTAGAATTTTGTGTATCCCTTAAAAATCACTTTATACAGTTTTCTGCTATAGAAGTCACATATCAGTAGCAAAGGCTGGATGAAAGTCAATATATCTTTAGTAACAGGTACTCTTTCATCCTGATTAGCTATTTAGGAATGAGCCAGGTCCCCAACAGGGTAGAACTCAAAACCTGCAAGACATGTAATTGAATTACTGAGTGTGAACATGTGTGCTGTATATACAGCCTGGTTACACCATAAGGTCTTTCAAAGGGGTTTTCTGGTACTGCTGTGCTCTGTCCTCGTAACTGTGTAGGCTGATGGAAGGTGGAGCAGCTTGCGAGTCACACAAACACGGTGGCAGAATCCCCTGCCAACACCTCGCATTCAGAAGTTTTGCAGCTCACATATTCTCACATAATTCCGTCCAGGATTTTCTGAGCGCAACCGTGACCGGCGCACTGCAGAAAATACAAAGGAGCCCAATGTGCCCGGAACGCTTCACGCCTGGAAGGTAAACACAGCCAGCTCAACAACTCCGAGTTGTATCAGATTTACTGCACACCCACAGCCGGCCAAACACACCCAGCACCGCCACACACCGCCCGTGCTGCGGCTCCGGCACGTCCCGGTCTCACTGAGCGCGTGGGGTCAGCACGCACAGAGCGGCGGATTGTCGAGCTCCAGGCACCGCGACACCCCGGGCAGGCGGGGTTTTCACACCAACCACACCCCACCGGCCGTCAGCACGGGCGGAGTCGCGCTCTCGAGGGAAAATCGCGAGCTACTCGCACATGGAAGCATCGCGGGCTTCCGCCAGCTCGGCCAGAGCGGCGGGCCCGGGCCAGGCCTGCAACACGGCCCCGCCGACGAGACCCTGACGGGGAGGTTGTTTCCCTCCAGGTAGCCTGGTGAGGGACCCAGCGCGGCACCACTCGCTGGTACGGGGAAAGCAGCCCAAGCAGCCAAAGAGGCTCCCTGCGGGCGAGGCAGCACTCTCAGCCCCAGGACAGGACAGCGCGGCAGCTTTTCCTGGCCCCGGCCCCTCAGCCCGCGCTCCGGGGGCGGGGCCGCCCCGATTGGCAGCGCGCTCCGGCCAATCGCGGCGCGGAGCGCTTCCCGCGGGCCAATGGCCGCGCAGCCCCGCGGCGGTCAGCGTGCTGGCCGCGCTGGCGGGCGCTCCGTGCGTGGGGCCAATGGCGGCGCCCCCGCGGCGCGGGAGGGGCGGGCGCCGTGACAGCCCCGCGGGCCCGGTGACTGGGGCCTCTCGCCCTGCCCTGGACGCGGCGCGGTACCTCGGGCCGAGCGGCACAGCTCCGCCTCCTGCCTTCTCTCTCGGCGGAGCGACTTCCTGTGTTAGCGGGGCTCCCGCCGCGTCCTGCCTCAGCGTCCCCGCCTCCCGGTCCCGCCCGCCCTGCCCGGCCCTGGACCCGTCACCAACTCCCGGCACGTACGGCGACGGGAGGGTTCCAACCTGCTTGCGGCCCTCGGTTGTCTCTTTGGGTTTTGTGGGGAGAGTTTTTTGGAGGAGGCTGAAAGCTCAGCCATGGAGTGTTTCAGCATACCCCCTTCACGCCCTCTGCTCGCTTTTTACTGCTATTTCCTACTTGTGTCTGAATTGTTGCTCCAGACAGGTAGAGTGAAACGCAGTTAGACACCTTAACATCACAGAATGATTTGGATTGAAAGGGACCGTAAAGATAATCTAATTTCAGCCCGCAATCGTCACCATCACAAGCCCACTTCAGTGGGAACTTAAGGTCATAAAAACATAACACATGGCAAATTATGAACCCTGTCAGATAATTTTTTTGCCACCTTGAGATGATGCCAGGTCCTCTGCAACAGATAATTGCTTTACTTCGGTACAAGCCACTGACTCTTGGAACAGCTTACTGATTAGTATTGCTAGTGCATGCCTTGGTTCCTGCAAAATGGCACTTGATAACCAAGTGTAACACTCCCCTGTAAGGAAAGATACACGAAAAAGAAATATTTGCATTTGTTTACCTCTGCAAGTTCGGAAGTGAAAGCTGTACCCAGCTGAACTTTCCCATCTTTCTAGGTGACACGCATACAGAGTGGAGAGCGAGCCTACAGAAAAGTTGATGACTCAGTTTGTATCTGGCACGCATACCAAACCACAGAGTTTTCTCCAGTCATTTCTGTAGCAAGCTTAATAAATAGCTCAAATGATACAGCTTTCCTAGAAAGATAGACCGTCCTGATTTTGAGTGATGAAACACAACATTTTTCTTGTACATTTTTTTTTTGCCGAGAAATTTCACGCTAAGGGTGTTTAGCTGCTTTGAACATGGCGGCTCACTGAACACAAACTTACATTTTCTTCCCAAGCAATTTTGTCCCCCTCTGCGACTGATGTTGTCACATCCACTGTGAGCGCCTCCTCTGATTTTTCTAACTTCTGTGTTCAGAATTCTGAACAATAATTTATTTCATTCATACTCCTAATAGTAAACTAGGAATCATATACATATAAAATATTTTAATAGTTTATTTTGATTTCTTGATTGTTTTATTATGATTCAATTAAACCCAAGTCATGATTATGCTCATGGATATTTGAATATAGCATTATGTGCAAAACGGCAATCACATTCAAAAAGCTGGTATACATGAATTTTGACTGCATAATCACAACCAAAGTAAATAAATATGAAGAAATATCAGAATCCATGTTTTCAGTTACATGATTTTGCATTATCTAAACCACTGCTGAGGTGTTTGTCTGTGTGAGTTCTAGTAGCAAAGTACATCTGGTTCTAGTTCAGTTTCACTTAGTTTCGCAGAATCACAGAATATGCCAAGTTGGAAGGGACCCACAAGGATCGTCAAGTCCAACTCCTGGCCCTGCACAGGACCATCCCCAAGAGTCACACCATGTACCTGAGAGTATTGTCCAAATGCTTCTTGAACTCTGTCAGGCTTGGTGCTGTGACCACTTCCCTGGGGAGCCTGTTCAGTGCCCAACCACCCTCTGCAGAAAGAACCTTTTGCTAACATCCAACTTAAACTTCCCCTGACACAACTTTAGGCCATTCCTTTGCATCCTGTCACTGGTCACCACAGAAAAGAGATCAGTGCCTGCCCCTCCTCTTCCCCTCCCGAGGAAGTTGTAGACTGCGACAAAGTCTCCTCTCAGTCTCCTCCAGGCTGAACAGACCAACTGACCTGAGCCACTCCTCGTATGGTTTCCCCTCAAAACCCTTCACCATTTTCATTACCCTCCTTTGAACACTCTTTAATAGCATAATATCTCTCCTATATTGTAGTAACCAAAACTGAACACAATTTCACCTAATCACAATAGTCATTTCACCTAATCACACTACTAATTTCACCATCAAGTTATTCTTCTAAGTAATAAACTTATGTATGCCCAGCAGCCTCGACACTGAATCCGTAAAGAATTCATAAGGAATTACAGTTTCATGAAAAAGATTCCTGAGAAGTTTTCTCATTTTTAGTTTCACTATTTCATTTCTTCATTCTTAATGTTCATTTCATGGGAAAAATGTTTCCCTTTGCGAGGTTTCTTCTGTAGAGAAGGCATTCCCACTGTTCAGAATGGCAGTTTACATTTAGATGAAGTACTACAAACAGACTTGCTTCTTTTTGTGGGATAAGAAGCAGCCTGGGTGAAGTATATGTCCCTTCAAATATTTTAAATCTCTCTTACAGGTAAAAATACAGAATGGATGCCATTACTATTATGTAACTGTGACTGAAGTGTATGTCAATTAGAGAGTAATTTTTATTGATCTTTCTACACCCATCATTTTGTGTCATATCTTTTGAGCAGATGAATTTAAAACTCCAAAAGTATTTTTAACTTAAATGGTTTTATCTCACAAAATTTTGAAGAAAATGTATCAGGTGTTGTTGTCAGTGACTCTTTCCCTGGTTTTTCTCCTATTTTTCATTCCTTCATAAGGTCTTCAGCTTACTCTGACAATTTGAAAAGAATCTGTCCGTTTTTATTCTTGTATGCAGTGGTTTCCAAGTTTATGATTTGTGAATTTTTTTTAATAGAAGTTCAGTTAAACCTACTGAAAGTAGGCTTCTTTATTTATCTTTTGCAAAGCTCTGAGAAGCAGTTCTTGAGCTTTTAGAGTTTAGTTAGTTTTAGACAAAAGGTTGGAAAACAATGCTCAACATCTTTGTTCCAAGTTGACAACACAGATACAGAAAACTTATCTCCCCAAAATGCAACGACTTTACTGTCTAACTTGATGTCTCCTTATGTATGTCTAACTACCAAGTTAAGCCCAAAGATGTGAAAGAATGTTCTTAATTATTTTTGTTCTATTAATTTTACCATCATTGAGTAAGAGTTTTGCCCTTTCTCTCATCCAGAACTGTAACCTGGATGTTGCCAATAAAACAGCTATTTTTTTAGGATTGCTGTTCAGGCTATCATTAAATCTTTCAGGGAATACCTTACTCCAGAACTTCTAAAAGGTACAATATTCCCCATCTAACAACAAAGCTAAAACTCTCGTTATGCTCCTGTCACTTCCTAACAATGTAATTTCTGGTGGCTTTGACAGATACAGTCTTGCTCTTCTCATATCCAACCAGAATTGTTGCTGAAACAAATAATCGCCTTAGCTCATCCCTTTATCCATGTAATTCCTCATTTTGCATCTATCCAGTGTTTCCATCTCTCTGCCCGCTCTGTGTACACTTCACCTTCATTTTGAAATCCTTTAGTCCTATCCCATCTTGTTTTCACTTAGTTTTGTATATGAGCTTTTCATCTCTGACCAACATAGAATTCTGGCTTTCATTGCACTTTTTTTTTTAAAAAAAATCCTGTTTTGCTTTCCCCACGTGACACTGTTACTCTCAAATCCATCCAAAAGAGACCTACAGCAGGATAGCTACTGTAACTTCATGCTCTAGTGTGCTGAGCCGATTCCTGTCGTGCTTCTCCCGTATTTACTGTTTCTGCCTGTTAGTTCGTGTCTTGTCTTACATTTCAGTTGCAATTTCTTCAGCACAAGTACCTTCCTCTCACTCTATGTCAGGTTAGTGGTTGACACCACTGTCCCTCAAATCAAACATTTCTAAAACCTCAAAACCCCCAGATAACTGTCCTTACCCATGCTTCCCACAGAGATAGAAGGAATGTGGAGCCCATCCTCTTTCCTTCCAGCCTTCCAGCTGAAAGTTTCAACGTGGTGTCAGTCATGATAGATGGTGTATTTTGTGACACAGACAGCCTGCCATTAGGACAAACTCATTTCACTGAACCATCTGATGGTAATGACTTTCAGTGACAGACTGACCTAGGCTGGCTCAAGTCGGTGTGCTGGAGGTGAAAGGCTCCATATTCCATTACCACGACTCTGAGCCATCAAGTCTGCTCCATCCCACCCCTGCTTAATCTGTATTGATAGACTTGGTAGCATTTTCCTAACTGCTCTCATCCATACAGATGTCTGCCGTCATTTTGTTGGTATGGTCAATCAATACTACATTAAATGTTACCTTCAGTTTACCCTTAATTGTCTAAAGTAGATGTGATATTTTCATTATTTATATAACTATGCCCTAAAATTATGCATTCCAGATTAAAAGAACAGAATACTTGTTTACATTATTATTATTATTGCTCTGACATCAACTTTTGGATTTCTGTGTAAAGAAATTAATCTCCTATCAGAGGGTAAATGGGGACTGACAAGCACTAGCTCCTGTTGCCTCTGGGACATAATTATGCTTGCAAATACAAAACCAGAAAAATCATAAGCTTAACACAGTAGACACTCTTGAAAGTTTCATCTCAGCATGAAGCTATGTTTTAATTATTATTTTTGTCTGCATTGTTCAGATTGACAGTGCACCAACTAGAATAAGTGCTTATCCTAGTTAATTCTTCATGAGACTTATGTCACTGGAAGATGCATTTAATTTATTTCCTTTTGCTTTCCTTAAGCCAGCACTGACTAAGTGGTTATCTATAAACATTCCTGAAAGGTTTTACTACTTTAGGGCCAGATCCAAAGTCTATTGAGTCAATTGGAGACTTCAGAGGTCTTTGGGACAGGCCCTATTACAAGGCAGACGTGAGCTGTAATTTGTTTGGGGACATTGCAGAATTAATGAAGGAAAAAAACCTTATTTATATTCTACAATGTTAACAGATTTCCTATATGATAGAGATTTTCTGTTCTTATGAACTGAATTTGAACACTTTGACATCCTCATTCACCTAAATGATAATTTTAGAGATATATAGAGATATAGAGATAGATATATAAGCATGTCCCAATACCAACTGAAGATTGATAACATTATAATTTATGATATTTTTTCTGATACAGTACTTGAAAATATTATTCTGAGTTATACATACAGTTCTTACACCTGAACAACTGTCATCTGTGTTGTGGAATAAGTTTTTCATATTTACTGATTTAATTGGGTAATTACAATGATATATTTCATTGTGGAAAAAATAACATCTTTTAAAGTTACTGTGACGCTATTTTGATTCATTTTTTAAAAAGGTAACCCATAAGGTATCAACATAATAGTTATCTATTATTATACGATCAAACAAAAAGCTCAGCTTCAAACAATGAATATGGAATTTGTGATGACAAAATTAACCAAAAAAATACTCTGCCTCCAAATATTAGTGTGGTCATCCAGGAAACAAAAACATATTTACAATTTTATAAATTATTTGTAGTATAATTTGGGATCCATATTCTCCATATTGCATGATAGTGCCCCAAATTACTAGATTGATGCAGTTCTCCTCCATTTCCCACAGAATTCTCCCCTATTCTGTACAAATAATAAAGTATTCTAAGTCTGGAGTTGAACTTAATTCTCCCCCATCCCTGATGTGTGCCTTAAGTGAAGTATGCACTGTCCCCCTTAATACACTACTGTTCCATTAGCTAATACAGAGTTGAACACATCAGCAGGATAAGCAGAGAGCTGTTTGTCATACACCCTGTTATCCAACAGATGAATCCTTAGGGCCCTATCCTAGCAAGGGTGGCACCTGAAATGTAGTCTTTTTTTCTAATGAAGTAGAAAGAGGGGAAGAAATGCTCCAGACTTTCCTTTCTCCAGACTTTTCCCCTGGTCTCTGGGACCTGCAGGCTCATTTTGCTAGTAAAGAGTGAGAACAATGGCATCCCTTAGTGCCTCAGCCTTTACCATGTCCCGTGTAACCAGAACGTCTGTCTCTCTGAGCGATGGGCCCACGTTTTCCCTACTCTTCCTTTTGTCACCTGAACATACTTGCACGTTAGTTTTGCTCAGAACTTTTCTTTAACACTGAGGTCATGGCACATGCCAATAATACTGTTCCCTCTAACCCTCTAGAACAGTGTGTCAACTACCAGCTACCAATGCCAGTTACCAGTTAGTAATTGTTAGACGATGACTTGTGCTTCAGGAAACTTGAACCATGCTTGAGAAGAGCTTGG